ACCTTATGCATTACATTCGGACCACTTTTAGTACACATGTTTTACATTACATTGCTTTAAATTTTTGGACTATCTTTGGTCTAGTTACAAAACTACTATACCTACGACTATATTTTTCGAGCAATTAGACCAATCTTTCCTTCAGGGTGGTACGGCGGTTACCAAGATATACACATGTAACCATAAGTGGGCGTGGCTACGCCCATTTTCCAAAAATTTACAATATTCTTATTTTTCGTCTAAAGTTTATTTTAAATATAAATTTTAAGTGAATAATCTTCAGTAGTTACTAAAATATCGCAGTTTTTGTATTTCTGAAAACTACCGTTATATGGGAAGTGGGCGTGGTTACGGTCCGATTTCGCCCATTTTCAATACCAACCTACACCACGCCACGTTGTTGGCAATAGTGTTTATACAAATATCGCTGGTGAAAATCTAAAGCTCGAACATTATGTAAGGCCCCTCTCTAAGCCAAAAGTCTTAGCCCATGTGCAGAATTACAAATTATATATTTAGTATACACATATGTATATATATGATTTTAAAAGATTCCCCTTTTTACAAGTTTTTATTTACTTTCACCTGTTCCGGTGTCTACAATCAAATATAATATTGAGTATTGATTTTTGTAAAGGTCGAGCTTTTGTTATGCAATTATCTGTTTATGCTTCTCAACGATAAAAGAAAAATACAAGTTTCACAATTTTTCGAAGTTCGAACATTTTTGAAATTGTTTAAATTTTAATTGTTTGGTCGAACTCCTCCTAAACGGCTTGACCGATCTTTATGAAATTTTTTGTGCATATATGGTAGGTATGGAATCGGATGTAAAGTATATTTCATACCGCTAGGTGCAGGGGCCTTGGCACCTCCCATACAAACCGAATTTTTCACACTTCTCTGGAAGTGTTCGTGGTAGAGTACTGAAAATAGGTACGGAGGTATATCAAATCAATCAAAGAGCCACGAAGAAAAGTTGTGGCTATTGGAAAAATGGGCGTGGCAAATCCCATGCATATACACTTTGTATGCATATACACTTATGCTAGGTTATTGAAGATGGCAATGGAAATCTGCCTTCTGAAAACCACCAAACCGTAATATTAGAAGATAAATGCGTCAATGAAAATCATGAACGTGAACTGTTGGTGAAAATATTAGACCAAAATGTTTCAATACAAAAAATTAATTTTGGGCGGGACGAAGTTCGCCGGGTCTGCTAGTTTTAATATAAAAACAAAATCAAAAAAATACCAAAAAATTAAAAAAAGTGAAGTCTAAATTCGTAGTGTAGCCTCCTCCTGTTGGACTTCGGAAACTATATTTTATGAAGGCTCACAACAAACGTATTTTTTGTGCCGGCCATATCCGATTTGCCATTTCGAATTTTTGAAATCTAACTTCAAATTCGTAATCAGTGACCCCCAAAACCCCCTATAAGATAAGATTTCGAATATTGGCCCTTTTTATCGTTTGCTGGCCCATATTGCATTGCCTAAATTTTCGACACGAATAGTGCATTAAAACGGAAGAACTTGGCAGCGCTGCATAGTTTTCGACGATTTTCGTTGTTTACTTATTACAGCACGACAGTAGACAATGCCAATGTTGTCGAGTCGTACAATTGAGCCTAATTTACGACTTACGCAATGAGGCTGAATATTCCTATTTTTCGCCTAAAAGTCATTGCAAATATCAACTTTGAGTGAATAGTCTTCAGTAGTTATTGAAGTATCACAGTTTTCGTATTTCTAAAAACTACCGTTATATGGGAGTTAGGCGTGGTTATTGTCCATTTTCAATACCATCCGTCCTACGCTCAAAAGAAGTACACATACCAAGTTTCGTTAAGATATCTCAATTTTTACTCGAGTTATCGTGCGGCAGACAGTCACCGCTCCATCGCTTTCTTTTTTTCTTTTTGAGCATTTATGTATACATTTGTCTATATCTATCTTGATTCGTTTTTGGCTGTTGAAAACAACCATTATGTAAACAAAGTTATAATACCCTTGCAAGTGCGCTCGGGTATAAAAAAATCAAATCAGCTGCTCTACTGATACTACCTGTTTAATGTGCCTTGGCGATTTCGTTTCTTCCAAAAAATGTTGACCTTCCACGGTGTAAAACTTGTTTATGTTACACTCAACCCTCTAAAAGGGCGTGTTTTTGCCTCTTGTCCTTGTCCAGCTCAAGTACTTCATAATATTGTTGTTTTAAGCAACCATCTGAATTTTGGGCAACCTTCTCTCCAGGCGAAACATTTTAAGGTACGAATACTAAATTTTAGCACCGTTTGCCTTTATTTTAGAACCGAAAACGAAAAGAGAAAGGGGCAATCAAAAGGCGACCGTTTTTGGTATAAACGAAGACACCATTACGAACACGTGCGCAAGCAAGATCGTTAACTCGTTAATGTTCGCCGTTAAGCGTTAATAAATTAAATTAAATTATGAAAGAGCACATACGTTTTCTTACCTATAATCAATTTAAACCGTTGATGGGCGCCTTCTTGCCCGCGAGCAAAGCTCTTTCAAGCCTTTTATACATTTTGAATAGGCGTGTGCAGAGTAAAAGCTCTATCTGCCCGTCGCTAATTTAAACTTTGATTTATTAATACAAAAAATAATAATTGGGTGGCTTTTTATGATTTAGAACTATATTTATTAAATAGACTTTAAGTCTAGTTAAGACATTTTTTCTCTACAAACAAAAAACGGAATACATAGCCTACGCAGAAAGGAGTTAGTGCAAAAATACTGTGGACACCGGAGGTTGAGTTATATGCATAAGAAATGTTATACACTTTTGACAAAAGAAGGGGGGCCTTCTTCTCAGAGGAGAATTCTACGTCCCAGTAGATAATTTAGGAGTTAAAAGCCTTTCCAAAAGGCCTTCCTGAGAGTCAAGAGGCCTTCCTCTCTACATTCCTTTATCCTTTCTTTTTTGTATGGAGTGGCAAAAATTGAAGGGCTTTTTCTTTCGCTACTTCTGGAAGGCCTTCCAGAAGGGCTTTTATAGGACGTACTTCAGAAAGCCTTTTGGAGGAGTTCTTCTAAAGTTGCTTCTTTAGTTTATAAAAATCATACAGCTTTGAAGTATTTGCTTAAGGTTTACATCAAATATGTGCTATTGCAACTTAAAATATTTGTTTAAATTAATTTCTAATTTTAAATAATATAAATTTATGCATTCGCGTAAATTGTAAATGGATAATCCCTTCTAGAAGGCATGAAAGGAAGTACTTTTTTCAGCCCTTCTTGGGTAGGCCTCTTAGAATGGCTTTACTTAAGAAGGCCTATCTAAATTATCTTCTGGGGTAGTAAGGGTTATAATCCCTAAGCGCGGGCGAATCACGCCTACCCAGAAAGGAATTCTACGCAAAAATACTGTGGACGCAAGTGAAAATTTTGGGCCGAGGCGGTCAGGGGTTTGCTTTTTTGTCAATGGCGGTTGATGTCATGTCCAAAAAGCTGTTTTGGAGGTGCCACGCCCACCCCACCTTCGCCAACCGCCGCTTCAACGACAGCCCTTATAGAAAAGTTTCCGAACTATACTTGCTTCAAAAACCTCTATCGACGTCCATGGTCAAAATATGTTTCCCTGTTTATCGTAATCGCACGAAGCGTTTTCTCTAGTTTTCAAAATTTTTTTATTTCGGAAAAAATTGCACTTACATATTTATATACATATACTAGTGGTTAAAAAAAAATTTCTTTTGGAAATTCATAAACGCTACCTCAAATTATTGTTATTCGTGATAAAAAAAAGAAAAACGTGTTTTTTTATTTTGAAAAACAAGTTTTCTTAGAGGTCACGCTGGTCGGTTTTTTTATAAAAAAAGCTGATGTTCTCAATTTTTTAGTTTCTTGACATGTTAAAATGCAGCTAAAAATTTGTTTTTTACATATAATTACTCTGGTATTACTGGGGAACATTCCCTTAATTATATACCTGTCTTAGGCAGTTAGAATGGGCCTAGAAGAGACTAGTAAAATTAAAACGTTGATACTGAACGATTTACGCATTGTCATGGGTTGAAGCTTGTTACCAGGGGGTTTCTGGAGTTGCTAATTAGGGCGGATCCAAAAAGGCGGTCCATTATTTTTAAAAATGATTAGATTTGTTCGAAACTCGACACTCGAGCGTTTTTGTGGTCGCCGATTACGAATCTGAAGTCAATTTTTTTTAATTCAAAATGGCGGATCCAATATGGCGATTAAATTAAAAAAAGTACTAAAATTAAAACGTTGATACTGAACGTTTTAAACAATGTCAAGGGTTAAAAAATGTTTCCAGTGGGTTTCTGGGGTTGCTGATTATGAATCTGATGTCAGATTTTCAAAATTCAAAATGGTGGTTAAGAGTTTCAAACAAATCCAATCATTTTTTTTTAAGTTAGGCGCCATTTTGGATCCCCCATTTTTAAGATCAGATCCCTAACTAGCAACCCCAAAAACACCCTGGTAACAAGTTCCAACCCATGACAATGCGTAAATCGTTCAGTACCAACGTTTTAATTTAATAAGTGTTTTTTCCAGAGCATATTTTCGGGAACTAGACCCATTCTAATTGTCCAAGACAGGTGTGTAATTAAGGGAAAGTTCCCCAATAATACCAAAGTAATTATATGTAAAAACCCCATTTTTAGCAGCATTTTAACATGTCAAGAAAATAAAAAAATTGAGAACAATCAGCGTTTTTATAAAAAACCAACCAGCGCGACCTCTAAGAATTTTATTTTTTTTTTTTTTATAAAAAATGCATGTCTTTTTTTATACAAAAACAATATTCTGATGTAACGTTTGTGAATTTCCACAAAGAGCGTTTTTATGAACCTCACCAAATTATACCTATGATAATTTTGTGCAAAGGGATCGACATGTAAATTAAATTTGCTACATTCATGATAAGAATATTAAAAAAATTAAAATAAAATTAAATAAAAAAAATATTTGTATAATGGCTACATTTCTGTATCTGGTCTGATTACTTACCGAAAAAGGGCCGGCACTTTGACACTCAGGACAGGAGCCAGGTTTAACTTCTGTATTCTGTGACTGTACAAAGGGCCCCAAAACGTAGCCACACTTCACACAATCGTATTTGATGACTGAAAGTTGAGGTAACACACCCGTTGTAGCTGTTACCACGCCCAAAGTACGCACCAGCTGGTTCAGATGGAGTTTCCGGAAAGTCCGTAACTCTTCTATAAGAGGCAATTCTGATATACGAACATGAATTTCTGTTGTAACACGTTCATATGTTGGAAATATTGATAAGACCATGTCTTTAGCCACCTTGTCGAAGATTTCTAGCATTTGAAAAGGTGCTTCAGGTAGGAAGTACGCAAGTACATGCTCTTTATTTGCCAAATCCGTGTAGGATACAACAAATGAAGATTTATTCTGTTCGCACATGCGTCGAATACGGTCCCGGTATGTGTACATACCACGTTCATCAACAAAGGTGCGCAAAAAAGACTGAAAGCGATTGGCGATTTCTGTTCGTGGTCCAAGCATACTAACCCATTCTTTTGTAGAATGGCCTTTAGTATCTTCCAAATTTTCTATCGATTCAATCATTTCCGCGTCTTCCATTTCACCTTCAGCAGCTTTCTCAGCGGCACGACGCTTTGCCCGCGGTCCAACATCGTCATCTTCGTCACTTTGGTCAAAGCCTAAATCTCTATCATCTCGATGTATACCAAGTGCACGGTCACGCTTTCGCATTTCCGCCTCAGCAGCCTGTCGTTCGCCCTGTGACATCTCCGAGAAGTCATCCTCATCATCCAGCATCGCTGGATCATAGTGATCCAATTCAGGCATCGGACGATAGTCGTTCTCCATGTTATCACCGAACAACTCTTCTCCATCTTCTTCCTCTTCTCGAATAGTCTGATCTCCAAGGATTTCGTCTTCATTCTCAAATGGTTCGAAGTCACCAACTGGGGAAGTCATAGCCGCACGCAAATCACGCCGATCGGCGGCATCACTCGGAGTTGCTGGAGGTGGTGAACTCACTTGGTCCTGCAGTGAAAGTATTTTATTAAATATTTTAGGCCACAAAAATTTTCCTTACCGCCATTTATTTTGGTGTTTTTTGTTTAGTATTGCTAACAGTAAATAAATCCGAAAAACTCTTCAATATAAAAAACAGAACGCAAACAATCGCCCGTCGTTGTGTTTTCACGAGAAGTAACTTTTGGCGCGATTTATGACAGCAAATAATTAGGTTTGTAAGTAACCAATAGTCAGTACTAATTTGTACTGGAACCAGTGTTGCCAAGTCTTCCCCATTAGAACACATCCCTCTTGGTCTGAAAAACGTCATTTTCTACCAAAAACGTCTTTTTCAAATGTATGCACAAAGAATTGTTCTTATTAAACATTCATTGTATACAAAGGTACATATGCACGTAAGGTATATTAAAATGTCATTTGCTCACATTTAAAATTCATTCTAAACTGGTTTGAGATCGTTAATATAAAATCACTTTATACATACTGTTACGATTATCCTTGAACCCTCGTCCGGATTACCCAAATATACTC